GTTATCAAACTCGTGGTTCCCAAAAGCCTGGGAGAAAAAAGCAAAGCATGGATTCAGGAGAGGACTCTTTAAAGTAGAGACACTACATACTGATATACGCCTGAAAATCAACAGGAGAGGACTCTTTATACTGATATACACCTGAACATCAGCAGGAGAGGACTCTTTAAAGTAGAGACACTACATACTGATATACACCTGAACATCAGCAGGAGAGGACTCTTTAAAGTAGAGACACTACATACTGATATACACCTGAACATCAGCAGGAGAGGACTCTTTAAAGTAGAGACACTACATACTGATATACACCTGAACATCAGCAGGAGAGGACTCTTTAAAGTAGAGACACTACATACTGATATACACGTGAACATCAGCAGGAGAGGACTCTTTAAAGTAGAGACACTACATACTGATATACACCTGAACATCAGCAGGAGAGGACTCTTTAAAGTAGAGACACTACATACTGATATACACGTGAACATCAGCAGGAGAGGACTCTTTAAAGTAGAGACACTACATACTGATATACACCTGAACATCAGCAGGAGAGGACTCTTTAAAGTAGAGACACTACATACTGATATACACCTGAACATCAGCAGGAGAGGACTCTTTAAAGTAGAGACACTATATACTCTTTAAGACCCTAAATGCCTTCAGTAATAGTATATCATATGTATTTGGGACACCGCTACACTTGAACATAAACTGACCTCAGACCTGCATCTACCTCCTAACAGCCAATCAGAAAGCAGCTTTTTGACAGGTAGTGAAGTTTTAACGTGGATCCATAAACTAAAGTGTGCGCAGACGGTTTATGTTGTGTCGCCCTGTAGCAATAAGATCTGTTTCCACATCCATAACCCCTGAAATGTCACTGTGTCACGTCTTATTGCTAATTATATGTCAATGTGGACGCCCGTGTTCTCCCCTCCTTCTTCTACATCTATCCTTTTTGTATCATTTTATTCTTTTACACTTGACTGTCTATGATCTCGTGCAGGTTACTAAGGATTACAGACTGGCAAGGGTTTCTGGTCCATTGACATATAATGACATTACAACTGCTTCATCGGAGGGGAGGAGGGACATTTGGACAGACAGAGAGAGAGGCTGGGATGAAGCAGAAGCTATTGATACAGGTCAGAATAGACCTCCTACACAACTATCAAAAATAATACAAAATACAGCATAAATAACTACATCTGTGCCGGCCACAAGGTTTGTTTTTGGTCTATTTTCTTAATCCGTCACCGAGCAGAGAGGCATCATAACCGCAGTTTCTGTAGCCTTCTGAGTTCTGGAAATCAATGAATAGATAAATATAAAAAATATAGGTAGCAAAGCAAGGAGATGTGTTAAAGGGACTAAAAGGTTTATTTCAGCTTTGCAACGTACGACATCCACACATTTGTCCTTCATTTTAATCAAAAATGAAACACCATGACTGCGATAACATATCTAATAACCTTTATTGAATTGTTATGTATAATATTATTCATATTTCTCTTAATATAGGAGCTCAGAAAATGTGGCAGCTGTAGTTTAATTACCCGCCACTAATTAAAAACAAAGCTTAAATGAGACTTTTTGCCGTTACAGTTTGTTAAAACTTCCAACGATAAAAACAATAAATCGAAAATCATACAATTATTTCCAGAACCTGATGTTGCAGCTCTTTGATGAACAAACAGCCCTATTCGGTTAAGGAACAAAACAAAAAAACACACTTTGCTTTTAATTGTTAGTGTATTTGCATGTTGGTGTCTCTCTATGCAGACGACATGTTCATTCAACGTTATCTCTGCATTAGAAACCCTCGTGGTTCTCACGGTGCCTTTTTCTGTTTCTCCCTGCTCTGTTTCCCTTCATCTTTAACTGTGTACACATTTCATAAGGGCTCACGTTACTTTACGTGTTGTTGACATGTTGAACAGGAGAAATAACGGTTACACTGTGAGGGGAAACCCTAAAACAGCTCCGTGCCTTTTCATGCACGCCCTCTTACAATATTACATGTAGCCTATTTAAACCTGGAACGACTCAACAAGAAAGCACGAGTTCTTATCCTTAAAACATACTTTTGAAATGTTTCTGACACATACGTTGAGTCAGTATTGAGATCTATCATCAAACCGTTTTATCCAAGTCCTTTGAGCACATTTAAATGTAAAAGATATGTTTCAGTTGCAGAATTGCTCATGAGGAAGAAATTAAAGACATAAATATGTTGAAGTTTGACATTTTACACAACGCTGCGTTAAGAAAACTCATATTTTCAAAGTTCTACTTCCAGATTAGCCTCACAAAACCAGATTACTTAAAAAAACTCAGATTATATTCCAAGATAATGGGATTTGTTGTTAGCTAATTTAGCACATTAGCCTTGCAAAGCTACGTTGGTTCCAAAAGCATCCAGCGAACATTCAAACTAGAAGTTAAAACGTATAACTTTTATTATGTTCCCCAGAGCAACCGCTGCACTTTAGCTAAGTAGCCATGATGGCGGTCATTAAAATAATTGTCAGAAATTATGAGTGCACCGTCCAGTTTATAAAGCCCTTTACCATTCTCCTCTGACTCAGTTATTCCACAGAAATAGAAAGTGTAAGAGCAGGATTACGCAGCTTGAGACCCAGCAGGTCAGCTGCAGGTTTGACACAAAGGTTAAGAAGACAACCTCCAATCACAGAGCTTCACTTAAACATCACTTAACCAATTAACTGAAACATGTCCACTTCAGATATTGAGGACAAACTCCTCTGACAGCGTCATTTGCACTTCAGCTACTGTAGTGTAGACATGTCAATGAAAAACGTAGGCTCCTCCAACAGAGCCTCATGAATATATACAGGACACACAACTAATAAAACAGATCAATAGTGCAAGAGGATATTTTGAGATGTGCAAGTAAATACAAAGAAAGATTAAAAACAGAATAGAAATAGTGCAAGAAAGTAATAATAATAATGATCAAACAATCAGACAATCTAAAACTGAACGTATTCAACACTTCCTCACACAGTCCACTTCAACGCATGAACATCTAACGGATTATTACTTAGGAAATGGAAGAAATATCTAATTGAACACAATATGAAACAGATCAAAGAAGAGAATGTTTTGAGATGTGCAAGTAAATACAAATAGAATAGAAATAGTGCAAGAAAGTAATCACATAATCTAAAACTGAATAAATTGCCTGTAATACTTGTCCTCACACAGTCCACTTCAACGCGTGGACATCTAAAGGANNNGATTATTACTGATCAAACAGATCAAATAAAATAGTGCAAGGGAATGTTTTGAGATGTTCAAGTAAATAGAAATAGAAATAGAATAGAAATAGAAATAGAATAGAAATAGAATAGAAATAGAAATAGAAATAGAATAGAAATAGAAATAGAATAGAAATAGAAATAGAAATAGAAATAGAATAGAAAGTAAGGGTCCAAAATGAACCAGAGCTCAGCCCACTCCACAGTCCTTTATTTGCAAAGTCACAGGAGGGAGAGTGCTTTAAAATCCCTCCTCCACTCATTAGAGGAAGTTGTTTGTGAGGCTTTCAGACTTCCCTCCTCTGCACTTACATCCTCAGCCTGTCTTTAACGACCAGCTGAGGTTTTAATCCCCGGCATTTATTTATTCAGGGCTAGCCGCCAGTTTTGAGGGCGCTGAAAACATATTTTAATGAGACGCCAGTCGGGAAACAATAGCCCGAACGGAGATGTTTTAATTGTCTCTGAGCGGAGGGAGAGAGATCTTTCAGACAACAAACACGTCGTATTTGTATACGTTGGATAAGGTTTGAAAAGCTGCAGACAGATGCTCAGCCTCGGAGGATCAAGATCTGGAGAATCTGAGCTTTCCTCAAGTGTGTTTTCACACAGGATGTGCTTCCTCACTCTCTACCTCAACAAACAGCCTTTTCATCTCAGATCAAAACCAGCTGTGGTGCTGTCATTGTAATAAACCTGGACTGATTTGCAAGAAAGGAAAAACTATTTAGATATCTGTTTATAGTTCAGGCAAAACAACCGTGAGCTAATCTTGAAATTTGCTAAAAATAATATCATTTAAACACAGAATGTCCTTTTTTAGACGTCAGAGCTAAAATCTAAAATCAGGGAATGTCCTGTGGCTCCTTCAAAATAATAGGCATGTAAGAACAGTTTTATTTGCATTTACGGAAACGTTTCAATCGTAAAAATCTAAAATTATAATGAAATAATCAAAAGGATCGCTTACAGCATCTTCTATTCATAATGTCCTCACACAAGCATGAACACCTAAAGGATTATTACTTATAGAAAATGGATGAAATATCTAAATGAACATAATCTGTGGGCGTCAGGGTGGGTTTGTAAATAACTTCTGAATATCTAATAATGTGTGTTTTAATATGTAAATGTGTCATGTGCATTGTTCTGAATATCACTTGTGTCACTTTGATGAGTTACTGTGACTAATACCATTTACCTCTGAGTGGAAGTGAAGCCAATGCTGGAGCCAAGCCACGATGCGTTCAGGGACACGTGCTGCGTGTAGGGACACGTGATGCGTTCAGGGACACCTGCTGCGTTCAGGGACACGTGATGCGTTCAGGGACACCTGCTGCGTTTAAGGGACACGTGATGCGTTCAGGGACACGTGCTGCGTTCAGGGACACGTGCTGCGTTCAGGGACACCTGCTGCGTTCAGGGACACGTGCTGCGTTCAGGGACACGTGCTGCGTTCAGGGACAC